ACCAACAGCAGTGCAACTACAAAAACATATTAATAGATTTTACTCAGAATGCGACAACCATGATATAAAGATTAGCGTGCACAGAACAGAAGTTATGATAATTTACAGAAAAGGAAGAACCACCAATATCAAAACTGATGAACACCAGTTAAAAAGGTGACGGATTTTACATATCTTTTTCAGAAGACGGAAGAATTCAACAAAGATACTGTAAAGTCAGTCCAGTTTTAGGCCGAATGACACCAATCCTGAAATGCAAATATGTGAACACGTACACTAAAATAACAGGCTTCAATACAATATTCTTACCAGCTCTGTGCTATCAATATTAAACATGAACACTGTCTTTAGAAGACAAAAGGAAAATAGTCACGACAAAAGTAAAATGCCTACATACCATTCTAGGTGTGACGAGGAAAGATCGACTTAGGAACGATTATATCACGAGGAGAGTCGACACAGAACCAATACTGAACTTTAAAGGTAGACACACACACAAAATAAATGGTTTGGTCGTGTAACAAGATTGGCATCAGATATTGCCTCACCGAGAGCAATGTTATACAAATACAGCGGTAACATATTCAGAGGTCTACCACGCAGAAGATTTAATTGCCTAGCTTCGCCGGTAAGAGTGAAAGAAAGTCTTGTTCTCCCGTCCTCTACCCTAGCTTGGTCCCCAGCGCTGACCTATTTTGAGTCTAGTGGAAAAAAGGGTCTAACTAAAATCCTATTTCTAATACCCCGTCCTCTACTTTATCTTTGTCTCCACCTCTGACTTATCTTTCGTCATAGCTCTTAAAAGCACTTGAGGCATCCCCTGTAAAACTAACCCACGTATTTAACAATCTGAAAGACAGACAAATGTTTTGTCGCAGACACACCTAGATACGTGGTTTCAAGGAAGATAACAACTAAATATATTTTGGTAACTAATTTTTCAAGAGGAAGTAATAGGGGAAAAAACAGAATTTAAAGGAATATAACTCAAGCAAAAGTGTACTTTTACTGATTATCGCAATAAATAAATAAATGCACACAAAGAGTGGCCGCCAGTGTGATTGCTGAATTAAATATTTCAAGCGTAAGGACAACAAAAACTTTAACCCCTGCACTGGTTATGCTTCAAAATTCGTTAACACCTAATCTATAATAAACACACGAAATACACAGAAAAGGGTTTGTGATGTGGTCACAGCGGCTAAAATGGGTTTCGTCCTTTTTAGGATGGTTCTTTTTTTCACTTTTTGAAGCGCCACCCTGGCTTTTGCCAGGGGCCGCAATATAGGCAGGGCATAAATATGGCAAATTGAACCCGGTTCCTGGGACCTCTCCACGGCGATCCTCATCTACATGGTGGCACTTTGTGTCATCGGGGTGTTTATCGCTTGTGTGATGTCCTATTGGGGTAGAAAGTCAGTCAGCCCCTCTATGGGTGTAAATTAGTTAGTCATCTCATTGTGGGATGCAATTTTTCGTTATTTGAAGCCCAACTCTGGCTCTTGCCGGGGACCGCAATAAAGCCCAAACATTAATATGGTCTAATGGCTGAACGCGGTTTCTGGGACATTCTCACGGGTGATCCACATCCCCATGGTGGCACTTTGTGTCATCGGGTGTTTATCGCTTGTGTGATGTCCTAGTGGGTTAATAATCTACTACTACTCTGCACAGGTAATTATTATCCGCTTGGTGGCACTTTGTGTCACCGGGTTTTTATCGGTTTTGTGATGTCTTGGTGGGGTACAACAAGCAAGTACACACACACACACACACACACACACACACACGATATCATTAGCGAAGTCGTCGCCTTGCGGGATGAATTTTGTGTAACTGATTTTGAAGCCCCACCTTGGCTTTTGCCCGTGGCTATAAATATGACCTAACGGCTGATAGGGGTTGTCGCGAACTCTCCTCGTGTGATTCCACGCGAGGCACAGGATGTTTTTTACTCTGTGTGATGTCCTAGTAGGGTTAAATTTACTTACTTAAACACACACACACACACACACACACACACACACACACACACACAGCTAACTCAGTCTTCTTCTACTTTTCGGTCACCAGCTGTAACCTATAGCGAAAAGTTCTGGTTTTTTATTCTCATCCACTTACGGACTTCAGTCTTTGTCCCTAAAGTTTTGCGTGCACCTCTGTATTACAGGCGTGTTTGTATGCAGTCGGTTTTTTCATAGTCTCTCAGACAGATGCACTCTAGTTTAGAAGGAAACCTCTGATTAGTCGACCCTTGCGACATGCTTTTTAGGAGGCATTGGGTATATATTTGTTTCTTCCCACACTCGAACTCCTGAACTCACACAGGAAGATTCAATCAGTAAGTTGTGGCCTCCATATTGAAGGTTGGCTGCTATCTCTAAACAGCAATCTTTTCGGAATTATACTCTGGACGCTGCCTGTTGACTTGTCCACTAGATCCAGTAACTCCTGCTCATTTTCTGCTGATAACTATAGACAAGGTCTAAAATTTATGATAACCGAATAGAAGAAAACAATTACTGTAAGTGAATAGAAGAAACAAACAAAAAGAGTTCAATTTCATTATCACTTGCATGTTTACAAATCTAAACCGATTGTGACTGTCTGTACATATCCCACCGACTGTGCTTGTTTGAGATCAATATAAGATGTCAGTTGATATACAGCTCTTAAAGCAATTAACATTCAAACACGAAGTCTCACAAAAATCATGATTTTAAGAGAGAGCGTCCAACAGCTGCACAGTGTGTAAACATCGTATTTATTTCTTTTATTGCAAACACAGACATGACAATATGTTCGGCTGTGCAGGTGCATGATGGGATTGTTTGTGCTTAACTCATGATTAATGACGCTGGTGCGGCAATTTCCGCAAGAATCACAAACCGTGAATTTTATGACTGCAAATACCTGCAGCAGTCATCAGTGCCGCAGCTCCCAAACACCATCTGTCGTTTCTGTACAACTGCCTGTTTGATAAATAAATTGTGATTTTTTTAACCTCAATAATAAATGTCATAATTATCAGTGTCAATCATGAGTCTGTATATCCATTTACATTATGCACGTAGGCGCGTATACAATAGAAGTTCATTTCAGTTGGTGTATAGATTTACGTTTGATACGCCACAAGCTAGTTATTAACAATCCTTTTTTTGTACCAGGCTTCGATTCCCCAGCGGGCGGTTAAGAAAGAAAATGTTTTCTTGAATTCGGCCTGCAGTACTGCAATCGCTCTGTAGAAAAGACTGCAAAATGGAAACCTAATATTCACTAAGGCAATAGTGGATGCACATATGTATACCTTCTAATGTGGAGACGACAGATTAACTCTTTCATTCTCAGTCAACACACTGGGTGGGATTAGGTACTATTATTGAAAATCACCAATCAACAGACGCCCCCCGCACCCCCCCCCCCACCCCCACCCCCACACATTTTTATTCACTTAGACAGTAGAACAAATTTGTTGGTTTCGACAGAAGCGCTGAAGGCTGACCGTTTAGTGCGATCTAATGTACGTAAAATTTGTCAACCAAACTAAAACATCCAAAACACAAACAACTTATTTTTACTTAGAGGCTGGAACAAGCACTTGCTAACTTATGTGTTTCCAACAGAGAGAATGCTTATTTGGCCCCTGGGTCTCTGCTATACCTGTGAGTTTGGTCTTGTCGTTACTACCTCCTTCAGGCATCAGATATATAATTATGGGAGCTAAAAGAGCTAAAAACTGCAAGAAATCACGTTACAAGTTTTATAATGAACGCTTCATTTGCTTGGTTTACAGTGTTATATGCATACGGGTTTCGTTTCTGTCGTTCTGGCTTTGTAAACGCGCTATGTAATGCAGGAGTGCCGGGCTCGATCTCAGCTGTAGGAGATTTGGCAGCAGACATCCTTGTTTCGGTTTCGGCAATGGTATCGAAAACCGAGCGTTTACAGAGCAATGGCGAACTATAGTGGGTTTCAGAACACATGTCCTCACACTCTATATAACAAATATCTTGAAAACTCCTGTACCGTTCAACACGAAATTCTGCATCTGGCTCAAGATTTTGCATGTTTTTATGATTCTACAATTTACAGGTGCACATATGCTGTTGTTTTCTTGAAATGGCATATTTCTTAAATCTTTGTTGTTTGACTAATAATTTGTGTACCCCAAGAAATAAAAGGTTCTGTGATTGATACACGTGTGGAGAAATTGTGGAATTCAGTTCAAATATGCAGCGATGCTTGGATAGCCTTCCTTCCACTCAATGAATAATCCACAGCTTACAGGACACTAATACTGTAGATGACCACATGAGAATGAAACGACTATACTATGCGCACATTTTTTTTTTTTTTTTTGTAACGTTCCCCTTACTAAATTTATTCAAGTTATTGTAAGCATGCTGATTGTTTGCTTTGACTGGGTGTCGGGTTTTTTTTTTTTTTTTTTCATATACCGTAAAAAAGGAAAAAAAATGAAAACTAAATGGTTGTTTACATTTAAAAAATAACTTTACAAAGATATGGTCATTAACAGGTAACATGCCAGATTTCAATAACCTACATAGAACAGTTACAAATGTTGCGTATGTCTTTCTTCAACTAGATGTTCTGACTGTGTGTACATTTGCATAAAAGATTGCTTAATTTGCTGGTATGTTTTACATTTCCATTTCAAGTCAATCGTTACTGAATGCTTTTACAACTGAATTGTTCTAATCGTAAATCTCTTTATCCATTCACAGATCTAACGAAGGTGTCTCCAATTTGCCATTAGAGTTGTGTTTTCCTGTTCTGTTCGTGTAAATGGGCAACAGATGAGATCAACACACATTCCAGCAAAAAAATGAAACCAGACACGAAACGGCTACTGGACACGAAATTGCACCCACTAGCACAATGCTTTATGAACTACTTTGCGACTAACGTTCATGTACAGCAATTTCAATCGAGTTGATTATGTGTTGGCGATTTAATCGTTTCTAAACGTTGACACCATTATGGATGACAACTGGATCAGCACAGTTCTACCGTCAAACATGACAAAAAGCGGAGGGAACCAAACTGAAATAAATGCAGACTTGAACGGGGTTGACTGCATGCATGTAACATTTATTCCGGGTATAGCCAGTATAGACACTGTACAAGGACTGAATGACTTCTCAAACAGTTATGGTGGCATTCATGGTTACGTCGCCGTAGCCGTCTGCCTGTTCGGGGTGTTGTCTAACTCAGCCAACATTGTGGTTTTGACTAGAAAAAACATGGCCTCCAGCACCAACACGATTCTTTTATGGTTGGCCGTTGCCGACCTGCTAACCATGGTAGACTATCTTCCATTTGCCATCCACTTCTATGTTATGGAACCAGCAGACGCCACACGACAACCCTTCAGCACGCCAGAATTCTCCTGGATTTGCTTTTTGCTGTTTCACGCTAGCTTTAGTATAGTATGCCACACCATAGCTATTTGGCTGACTATCGCTTTGGCCATATTTCGGTATATATTTATATGTAAACCAACCAGAGGTTCATACTACTGTAGCCAACAGCGAGCCTGCTACGTGGTTGTGACTGTGATTATTTTAACCATCGTCTTGTGCATTCCAAATTACACAATTAATACCTACCAGTTTCATCACACCGCAAATGAAACATTTTTAATAAACATTAGTACCGAGTCATATTATTACCCCGACATCAGAATGGCCACACCTGAGTTTAAAATGATCTTTCTGGTCAACAACTGGGTCCAGGCCATCCTTATTAAGCTTGTTCCGTGTTTTATGCTAGTCACTTTGACTTTGCTTCTTTTGAATGCGATGCACAATGCATACAGGAAGAGATTAAAGTTGAAGTCCCAAGGGAGAAGAGCTGAGTCAGACAAGCATGGCGAACATAATAGAACCACTGGGATGTTACTGGCCGTGGTCATTTTATTCACAATAACAGAGCTGCCCCAGGGTATCCTCACGCTGATGAACATCTTTGTCGACTGCTTCACCACAACCGTCTACTACAAGCTTGGCGATCTTCTCGACATTATGGCCCTCATAAACAACTCGGTAAATTTCGTCCTCTACTGCACAATGAGCAAACAGTTTCGCACAACTTTTGCGTCTATCTTCTGCCCACGACAATCCTCACACCCCAAATGGCTGAAGCTGAGGTTAATCAAATCAAAAGGCGGAGATTTGAACTCTATTGAGATCTCAGAAGGGAGTAAAAAATATGTTCGTAGCAACAAGAACGGCGGTGTTCGGATGAACAATGAATGCCAACATTTATCCCAGGAACCTACAGTTAGTGAGCTAATTTTCGACGACCCAACAGAAATCACAGACGTGCAGGTGAGCAATGAGAAATTGCTTCTTGCTGCTGAGAGTAACAACGGCGTTTCTGCACACGCACACGGTTTAGTCACTGACCACAGCTGTTTGTAATGAAGCATCTGACGGATTGGGTTTGGTGACATGTTTTACATTCTTGTTGTTAAGACAATACTAGTATTACGTTGTTCATTACAATTGTATGAAAAACATAAATAGAAAAGCCTTCAGACACTACTTCTATTTATCTACTTGAAAATACTTAATAGTTACGATTCACAAGTGATGTTTAATTTTTTTTTTTAATTCATTCTTGCTAGTTGAGAACGTGTAACGTACATTATAATCATTGTTTTAATATCAACAGGGCGGGAATCTCATGTGATATAATTGTTCTTTCTTCAACATTTTGTAAACAGTAAAGCATTTCAGCTCGATGATTTATTAATAACTGTAGTTAATAAATGTTAATAAATCATCATCATGTTGCAGGTCCTTTGCAGAACGTTGCTCTCATCACAGTCTGCCTGAAAGAAACTCGGTCTCTCGCCAGTTCTCCCGCCTCATGCACTTTCATATTCAAGGAGTCACTTATATCCTGTGCCCATCTTTGTGTCGATCGGCCCCTGCCTCTCCTTGCTGGTACCATGCCTTCAGTTAAAAATTTTTCCCATCTGTCGTGACGCTTCGAGAAAGGATGCTGTTTATTAGCCAATCTTTCTTGATGTTCAGATCTTTTAAGATGTCAATATTTCTCATCTTCTTTGTCCAAGATATTCTGAGAATCTTTCTATAGCATTTCAGCTAAAAAGCCCCTATTCTCTTTCTTAAGGACTGAGAGATAGTCCACGACTCACATCCGCATGTAGCCACAGGGAAGATGCATGCTCTCAAAATTCTAATTTTTATCTCCTTGGTAATAAATAGGGTTATTAAAAAACAAAAGCGCAAGTAATTTCATTTATGTATATTTTCTTTACCATTACATTACATAATACCAATACACATGCAAGCGGGGGTTGAGATGGGCTGAGTGGAGAGAGAGAGAGAGAGGTTTATCTAAAGTTCACGAACTTACAATAGAGGTTATAGATGTTCAATATGCCAGTTGTCCGCTGCTTGGTAAACACACGCAACTAAACTCAAGGATCCTTTGTGGCAAGTGCCAGAGCAGTCGAGTAGCCGGTTGTGCAACTGCGCTCTAGCATAATATTCGAAACTTTATACCTCCTCCTCTCCCCCCCCTCTCCCCCCCCCCTCTCTCTCTCTCTCTCTCTCTCTCTCTCTCTCTCTCTCTCTCCTCTCTCTCTCTCTCTGGTATGTCTATTATGACTAAGGAAATACACATGAAACTGAAATTGTATTGTTCAAAATAATCCTTGTAAAGAAAGGTTGACAAAATGTTCAAAACCAATTTCAGTATAAATATATTTGTTTAAAGCGGCGTCCGTGGCTAAGGCGTTGCGATTCCGACTCGTAAGCCAGCATACCGCGATCGAAACCCACTAAAAGCTGCGTGGATTTCTGTCGTGGTATGGGACGTCGCAGGTTGACCCAGCCTAAAATGGGTACCAGGATGGGCTGTCCTGGGAAAGTAAAGACAGACGGCGTAATGCTGACCACATTACCCACAGAGTGCTGATGGTCTGTAAAAATATGGGACGCTCTGCCCATATGCCCGATGCGCCGAAAGGCGTGAAAAGGGAACTTTACTTTCCTTATATTTGCTTAAAAATCGGCTACTCCTCTAGAAAGCTGGAATGTAAACGACTTGTCTGTGGCCTCATCGAATAACATGTTACTTATAACTTTGCCTGGTAGGAGCTAGCCTATTATTAAGTCATAGAAGCTAAACACTCTTAGAACATCAAAGGTACCTGTATATCAAGGTATCCATGACAGCGACGTGAATAGCAGCATAACTTTAATTAGTCTGAGAGTCTCATTCTAGGGAGTTATTTTCCAGTACGTTCTTCGCGTAGCTTAACTCTTCGTAACAATAAGAAAGTATTCAAATGTAAGATGTTGCTATGCACTGCAGTAGAAAGGTTGTATGATAAGACCCCCATTCCCCCCCCCTCCCCCGCCCCCATATGCTATCGTCGTGTAGAAAATCCTTTGCAGAACGTCGCCTCATCGCAGCACGTCAGAAAGCGACTCAGTTCCTTGTTAATGTTACCGCCCCTCTAGGCAACTGTAATGCCCAATCTGTCATGATCCTGTGTCCACGATGATCTTAGTGACCCCTGCAGCTTTAACTCGGACCGTACACCCCATTAATGTTGTTTCCAGCCAACTACTAGGTTTAATGTTGTTTTTCAGGCCCCAAGTAACTATAGTGTCTTTATGCTAGTCCCAACCGATGCTCTGATCTCGAAGATGTCAATCTATATTTCATAAATTTTCAATGTTGTATATGGTTACGTACTTTTCGAAGTTTTGCCTTCAACGTACATTTAAATGTTTTAGAAGTGGTGGAAGCTTTGGCATGGTGAAATTTATGAGCGCGAGAGCAGAATATCCCCGTGACCATGTGTGAAAGTCGGATCACTCGAGGCCGACCTAACAAAAGTGATGTGGTCAGTAGGTCGTTCAATCAGAAGCGAGCTAGTATGTAGCAGTTGTAAATCGGGAGACCAGTGTAAAATGTATCCGACTATGATTAATCCACTATAAATAACGAGATGTTTCTTTATTAGTTTTGTTACCACTCGAAAAAAGGTTAATGTATATTTTTTTTTTTTTTTTT